CATATTGTGTGATTCCATTTAAATGAAATGTCTGGAATAGGCAAATCCACAGAGACAAAAAGTAGATTAGTGGTGGCCTAGGGCTGGGATGAATGAGGAATGAGAAATGAAGTTTCCCTTTTGGGATGATGCAAATGTTTTAAAATTAGATTGTGATGATGGCTACATAAGTATAAATATGCTAAAAACTATTGAATTGTGTCCTCTAAATAGGTGAATTTTATGGTATGTAAATTATATCTCAATAAAACTACCTTTTTTTTTTAATGGTCTGGGAATTAGCACAATTTCCTTCACTGTAGGAATGGAAGGGGGGCAAGATTGAAGCAGACGTGCATGTTAAATTTTTCAGTAAGAGTTAACGCTGGCCAGGTGTTCTTAAATTTTAATTAAAAATCAAATAAACAGATGTTTGTTTTCTAGAAGACTGTGATTATAACATTTCATGGCTCTGGTCAATTGCTTACTATCATCACGATTTTTGTTACAGCTACAGCACACTATAGCTATGTAGCATGTGATGCATCTGTGGAGAAATGAGGCTTCAGGCTCTGTAGTGAGAGTTTGCTGCTTAGCCAGTCAGCTAATTTTGAGGCAGGGGATTAATCAGGCTGTCAGGTTGTTTCCCTGAAAATAGATGCAGTGGATGAGTTAGGAACCTGTGGCTTTCTCAGCTCAGCAAGACAGCTGTTTAAAATGCTTTATGCCTGTAGTGTCTGAGTGTCTCTCTCCTTGGATATAATTGAGAGCTTTCTCCAGACACACAGGGGGGCTCTTCTGTAACAAGTGGTTAGTACTGATGTGTTAAAAAAAACAACAAAAACAACCCTGCTTTTTATATACCCCAATGCTTCTCATCAATAACTTGTGCCTCATAGAACAATACACTTAAAAAAACTGGTTTGTTATTAGCCTTCTTTTCTTCTCATGATAAAGATACAGGCAAGCCATAATGTCATAATGTCACAAAATTCAATACAGGTAGTAAATTTTTAACTGTTGGAGACATACATTAACTATATATATATAGTAAAGTAAAAACAGCAATTTAAACACACATAACTCAGTGTTGTGTTTATGTTGTGTTTATTTCTTGACTGTTTAGAAGGACAGCTCCACATGGGAAATAAGAAAACAAAGAAGATTAGTGTAACCATTCATCTGATGGTATGGCATGAGTAGTTCCTAGGATTCTAAACAGTTGTAAAGCTAAGGGAATGACATCGAGGACTAGTAAAGCCAAGTAATGTCCAACAAGCTCTGCCTGACCAAGAGACTGTCATCCAGCCTTGAGTTCACGTCAGTCGCTGTAATCCTTGGGCTTTTCAGAAGCACACAGGAGTGTTCACCTGCAGTTGATATGGAGTTTAAGCTTTGGCTCGAAACCATATAACAGCCTTTAAATACGCCTTTATTCTTTGTTAATAAGATGGTTTTCATAACCTTTAGGGGCTCCGGTGTCTTCCTTTGCTTGAAGGCAGAGACAAGTCTGAACAGAATGTGTTATTGCTCCTGGAAGGGAGCCTGACCTTCGCCAGGGCCCCTGGAGAACAGCAAAGATCTAACAAGTGTGTGGAACAAACATAGACCTAGGAGCCTGGGTATGAACACGTGGCATTAAATACCCATGGCTTTTTGCACCAACGTTTATCTGGGGTCTTTTGCCTTGATTGGGGGTTCTTGAAGTCAGAGCCCTGTGGAAACGGTAATTAGATTTACAGTATTATTGAAGAAACAATCTCACCTTGATAGTTAACAAAACAACTTGCTACGCTTGCTGGCTCTGACAGCATATTATTAAGTTATCATTGAATTTGAGCCTTGGAAGCGCTCTCCCAGAACCAGAGCATTACTGACGCCTTCAGACCCGTGGACTCCAAAAAAGGCCATTTAGCCCAAAGTGGCCTGTTTTGGGATAAGGGGCTGGCAGCCTAAGGAGATGAAGAGAGAGCCAGACAGCCAAGAAGCTGATTTAGGACTCATCTTCTTGGACGTAGTCTGGGTCCTTTCTCTATAGCACAAGGCCTCAGAAAGGACGTGGGCTTTGGTATCTGCACAGTAGCACACACTAGCCACATGAACTCATGTTTCTTCATCTGCAAAGTGAACAAAAGGAAACCAGCCATGCACGGTGTTATAAGGGCAAGATAAGGTTCTGAGCATCTGTCACTGCACTTAATGAGCACCCTCTGCCTAGGATCACCGAGGTGGTTTTCCTATTCTCTGCCTCATCTTTGATGAATTCCACGACATTCGGAAGATGTCATCACTGTGGTCCTGGTAAAATATTCTGTCATCCTGGAAATTACAAAAGCCCTGGATACCAGATACCGCTGCTCCCATCAGAAGCCTCATCAACACTGAGTCTAGTTCTCACACAGAGGAAGAATAATGTATGTGAAAACAATTTGTAAAATGTGATTAAAATGCTGGGTTTTGTTATTATTAATGGAGCTTCATCTATTTTAAAGATTTTTTTTTTATGGTCTCTAGCATAACTTTTGCCCAGAGGATTAAGACAAATCAGCTTTGGTGATAAACTTATCTTTGTGCAAGGGGAGTCCTTGGCAACAAGAGGGCTAATTGCTTAGAAACAGCTTCCTTCTGGTAAGAAAGGGAGAGCAAAAAGGAATGAAGAAGAGTTTCAAACAGTTCTGAGAAAGGCTGTGGACTAAACCTTTACAGCACAGGAGAGGGGTTCTCAGGCTGTTGGTGGTCTGTCCCCCAGAGTGCCATTTTGTTTGGATGAAGCCAGCCTCTGAAGCATGTCTGGGAAGAGATTCTCCTGGGAACCTGTCTTTTTCTTTATGTCTTTTCAGTTATTTTAAAACACTGAGGATGGAACCTGTGGACTATCCACATTTCAGAAAACTAAGACTCATCAGACAGTCGACAGACTGAGATGTCCCTCAGGCAGGGGCTCGGGGTGTGTGCTATCTGCTAGTTCACTTGTGAAGGCCTCCTCAGCTGTGGGGAGACTGAGGCATGGGGCTGCAGCTTCACCTGGGAAGTAGTAATGGGAACCTCTCTTTTGGAATTCTCCAGGGTCAGGTAGAGATTACACTTAAGCAACAATTGTGTATTGGAAATCCTTCAGTGGGTGAAGTGAAGGAAATGACTCTTGTGGGGAAGAGCTGGTAGGACCCAGGTGACTGGTAATGCTGACGATATTAGGGTGGTAAATATGTGGTGAGTGTGTGGTGGGGGACGGTTGGAGTTGGATGTGCATGTGTGGAGGAGTTGTAGAAAAGGAGGAACCATCTTTTTTCCAGTAGCATTTTTTTTCTGTTTATAAAAGAAATATAAGAATATTGTAGAACATGGGAAAATATAGAAAAATATAAAGAAGTAAATTGAAATCACTCACAACCTATAACCAACAAATAATTAAAAGTACTGTATAGGTGTTGATCTGGACTGGAAATGAATATGGAAATGTGACAACAGCTGGTTTTTTAAAATAATGGGAAAGAGTGTTTTTGTTTCCTTTTTTTCTTCTTTTGATTTCAGTTTGCAGTACTTTCTTCTAGTGCTTTTAATGGAAATGTATGGATGAAAGAGCTATGATATACTGGTAAAGTTTATAAATTTAGAATGTAATTATATATGTTGCTTTGTTATCTGTTACCTTCACTTTAAGTGTGTTATGAGCTTTTCCCTTGTGAGTATTCTCTAAAACGTGATTTAAATGGCTTCGTTGTATTCCATCATGTTAACACCTCATGTAATCAATTTTAGGAATTTCCTATAGTGTACATTTAGTTAGTTACATTTTTGACTATTATAAATAAAACTGAACTCAATATCCTTATGCATCATGTTTGTGTGGATCTGTATTGTGTCACTGAGACAAATACTATGAAGTAAAATCAGGTGATCTTAAAAGGTATACACATTTTTCATGCTCCTCATACATGTAATGGGATTGTGTTCTGAAAATATGAACTTCTACTCCAAGGGGAGATGTGTGAGAATGACCAAAGAGGGAGACTGGGGGACTTGGAATCCATGGTGAGGTGCTCTGGAGAGAGAGATGGGAGATATCCCTGAGAGGGGCCGAGCAAGAAAGGCAGGAGGGAAGATTCTCAGGAAAGAGCCCAGAAATTCTCAGGGATTTGTGTTTGAACCATTGAGAAAGTCAGCAAAGTCAGCCAAGGGCAACACTTTACCTTGAAGAGGAGGTTAAAGAAAATGATGTCTATAAAAAACATTCCTTAGGGCCGGCCGAGTGGCTCAGTTGGTTAAGAGCTCGCTCAAGAGTTCAAGTTTGGAGCAACAGCGGTTCGAGTCCAGCCCGAGCTGAGCAGCCGCTGAGCTGCCAACAGGTAGCAGGATGGCTCAGCTTAAAAAAGAAAAAAAAAACCAAAAAACATTCCTTGAACCCTTATGGGCTTTACAAAACCTTTCTAGGGTCGCTTATTATCCTAGTCACTGATGAACTTGAGGAACAGAAATTACATGACTTTCATCACTAGTACAAGTGGCAGAACACAGATTCAAAATGGTGTCTTCTGGTTGAAATCCCCCACTCAACATTTTATATACCCCTCACAAAAGAGCTTGGCATGATGCCACTTTCTAAAAACTTTCTGATGAAACAGAATGCCTTTTCTCCCCTTTAGGTCTAGAGCAGCTTCCACAGGGTGGCTGAAGGGAGGATGAATGAGACTGTCGTGCCATACTCAAGAAAGGGGCAATTTCTACAAAATGCAATGACTCTATTTTAAACTCAAAACCCACTATTATGTCATAGATTATTACTAAGCACAAAAGAAACTTTTATGAGGCTCTTTTCAAAAGGACTGCTCAGCTCCTAATCCAGATCCGTAAATTGCAGGTGAGTGTGAGGCTCTGTGATTGACCGAGGCATGACAATTATGTGGCAAGTAGTGGCAAACTGAGTCCACTGAGATGTGACACACATTCACTGTAACACTCTATCAAGGTGCCTCGTTAAAACATTTACGACCGGTCATTTTCCCCAAATTCACCTTATTAAAATGGCCGGCGGAAAGAAATGCTTGGTTCTAGGATTTCTTGCTTTTTTTTATGGGCTGAATTGCGCATTGAAGGCAAAGAAGAAACAGAAGAACAGACCTGTCAGTTGCTGGGCAAGTTTGATTTGAATGGGCATGTAGATGCCAAAAACCATTCACTTGTTATTGGAGGACTGTTTCCTATTCATGCCAGGACCATTCCAGCAAATGAGTCGATTTTGGAGCCAGTGTCAGCAAAATGTGAAGGGTAAACCATTCTTTTTGTCTTCTTTTTACATCAATCACAGGTGGTGGGGGTGAGGGAGTCAAAACCTGGAGCTGGAGTCGTGATGCCAGCTCTAACTCTGACAGGATCGGTACTTCCTGTTTCTGGGCCTCAGTTTCTCCAAGGTGGACATTCTAGGATTGCTCAGAAATAAGAAAAGCTTGGTCTCTAGTGGGCCCTTTCCCACTTCTGTACATCAGAAAGAAAAAGGACAGGCTTTGTATGCTACAGAACATGGCTCATCAGAGGGCGGCCTGTGGACCAGCAGCATCAGTACCCCCTAAGAGCCTGTTGGAAATGTGGTGGAATCTCAGGCTTCATCCCGCGTCTGCTGAATCAGAGTCTGTGTTTGGACAGGGCCTCCTGGTGACTCATATATTCATTAAGGTTTGAGAAGCACTGATGCAGAATTATGCAGTGCTGCAGCTTTACTATGAATTGTTATTAGGCTACACTCTCTGCAAGTGAAAATACAGTGTGGGAACGCTGAATTTATTTGTAAGCTAACGTTCATAGCAAGACTCCTTTATCTGGAAGGCTTCTGCCCTACTCCCCTAGCCCCGAAATTGTCATGTCATAAAATGGGGTCCATAACTGATCATCTGAATTTGCTAACAATCCATTGTATAAAAGGCAAACATGGGTTAGATTTCTGGGTGTAAAATGTGTGTGCTTACACACACACACACACACACACACACACACACACACACACACATACACACACACTCTTTAGATATGAAAAGATTGCCAGATATTAAAAGAAAGGAAAATACTCATGGCTATCCACTATTTTACTACCATAACAAAGCAGCTCTTTTCATATTCTTTCTCAGTCCTTTATATAAATGCAACCATAATTGTTGCATAGTTGTGACCATAGCCATGGACGCAATTTTATATTGTGTGTTTTACATTATAGAGTAAGCATTTCCGTGATGCTGCGTGGTAATTATAAAAGCACACTGTAAAATTTTTAGCAACTTCTTACACAATTAAATCTTTACTGATCAAAACTGCTTTCCTTTATCATATTTTAGGCTTCATATTTGAAACATCATTAGAGTGATGGATAACCTGTAATGCTGTTTGCAAAAGGAAAGGATTGCAATTAGTTCCTACATATTCCTTTCCTAGATCTTCTAATTCCTTTCCATTCTTACAATGAAGCAAAAGAAAGCGAGATGAGAAAGGCTTTTGTTAACAGCTTCAATATTGTGGAGTCAGTTTACTATTTATCACAGAAATTTTCACTTTTTCAATCCCTGAAAACGTAAAATGAAAACTGGAGTTTGTCCTACTATAGTACACTATAATTTTGTAAATGAATCACTTAATTGTTCTTTGCTCTTCATCAGAGCTTCTGAACATTATCTTCCTAGCAAAATTAAGTGAAAAAGCCAATGTACATATTTTTAATAAAAACTGACCCCTTTCATTAAAAAACTAATTTGGCATATCTACTGTGGTTGAAAGAGTGGTGAGAAGTGTGTCAGTCCTGTTTTAAAAATAATTCACCCTACCAGGGGTAGTTTGATTTCCCTACCTAGTCCACCTGTTCTTAATTAATTTTCAGAATAGTCTGATGGTAGCTTAATATGTTCTGTCCAAGGATTTTTAACTGTAATCAGTGGGACAGGGTAGTGCATGCTTACTTAACCTTCACTGTAACTCAAAGCCTGAGGAGTCTTTGAAAGATTTCTTCAGGGTCTTCTGATTTTCAGGGTTGCTGCTGAGAAGTTTGATGACATTCTGACTCTTGATATTTTGCATGAATCTTTTTTCGTGTGTTCCAGGGCATCTGCAAAGCCAGTTCCTTGTCCTGAATGCGGGTCAGTAATACAGTCTATCATTGTGGGTGTTCCGCAAATCAGCCTGATTTGACTGAAATTCAAATTGCTCCTCTCTATGCTGTAAAAGGCTAAAACTGTTCCTAGCATGTTAGTCCATCCTAAATATACCCGTATATCTTGGATATTTAACATTCAACATTTAAAAAATTTTTTGATATTTTTTTCAAAATTAGAACTATATAATTCATTTCCACTGATACCTGCCTACAGTTCCCTCCTATCTGTACCCAAACCCAATGTTCTCCAAGCCTCTTAATGTTCCTCCAGGTGATGCAACTTTCCCTCCCAGTGGGAGGGGTCTCATAGGAGGCCTGGCCTAGCTGGTATTCAGGAGGCAAGCTCGGGAGGGCCTAGTCTGATAGTCATTACATTTTGGCATCACTAACCTTTACTTATAACTGATCTAGAAATTCAAGTTGGGGTTTGAAGACATCTCATTTGAAATCCATCATTTAGCAAGACACTAGTTCTGGCTGGCCATCCACTACAGTGAACAGAAGAGGACAGCTTTTCCATTCTTTTGAGAATGTTGTTCAGAGTAGAGAAAGGCAATGAAATAGAAGGAGGAAGAGAGTATTTTAATTTTTTTTTTGTTGATCTAAACAAATTTAGGATTTAGAGAAAATTTCTGAGGAGAAAAAGTTACACATTGTACAACAGTATTGTCAATTTCATAACGGAAATTAACAAGTGAAAGAAAATTGTCACAGATCCCACACTTCCAATGATTATCCTTTACTCATTTAAAAATTTTCCCTGTTGATACATATCCAAATGATCGCATAATTTACATGTAATTTTAATTATAGCATGGAAACAACTTTGCACATGGCATGTTTCACTTAATATTATATGCATGCTGCTGTGTAATTTCTCTAATTATAGTTTTTTAATGGAAAATGTTCCTATCAAGTCAATGTACCATAACTTATTATTGCTGAGCATGTAAGTTCTTCAACATTATAAATAATTTTTTTTTTTTTTAGCTGAGCCATCCTGCCACCTGTTGGCAGCTCAGCAGCAGCTCAGCTTGGGCTGGGAATCAAACCACTATTTCTCAGAGCTCACACTCTTGAGCATGCTCTTAACCAATTGAGCCACTCAGCCGGCCCCTATAAATAATTTTGTGATGAGCAGTTTGGGACATACATAGCTTTTTCCTTTGAGAAGAACAGTTTGTTCATATAAATTTTCAGGGCTAGAGTTATTGATTCAAAGCAGGTGAACATTTTTCTAACTCTTGAAATGTATTGCTCTATTATCTTTAAAAAGATCAAGCTATACAGTACTACCTTGGTTTGTGAGCATAATTCATTCTAGAAACAAACTACTCATATTGCAAGACGTCACTCGTTTACCATGTTAAAATGTATTTGAAATGTTTGCTCATCTTGTAGAACACTGGCAAACCAAGTTACTCGCAATCCAAGGTTTTACTGTATTTATTTCAGAAATGTGTACGCTAATTCATATTGCCACCCGTGTAAATTTGGAAACCACCTCTCCTGGGACAATGAAACCCTTCATGTCCTGGCACCTTCTGGTTTTCAGTCTCTTCTTCCCTGCGCCACACCTACTCTTACTCTGTCCTCCAAGCGTACTGACCTTTTCATGCCTACAAAGTGTCATGTTCTCTTTTTGTAATGCCTTCACACATGCTGTTCTTCCTGCCTGTAGCATTCACTCCTTGTTTTTATGTTGCCCTTCAAGACTCTGATCGGCTGTTAAATCCTCCAGGGTGAGGTGCCTCTCTTTTGTACTTCATGGCCCCTTGTGTCTACCCTATCACTGTTTTTATCATTTTGTGCATCACTTGACTATTTTTCTGTTTCTTCACTTTGACACTGTAGTGCCTAGCTTGTTCACTGTTGTATTTATAGTGTCTGGCACCAGTGGAAATCAATAACTACATATTAAATGAAAAACCAAGCTAAGCAAAACTAATTAATTAAAGAGACATGGAGAACTCTATAATCTGCCAACATGGCTATTTGCAATTAGACATTTAATTTAAAAATATTTATTGAAAATAAAGAGAAAAAATCTCTAATACTATGTTCCCAAGAATGGAAAATAAATTGTAAATTTGGGGATGCCACGAACCCCAGGCAAAACCCAAACCAGCTCCCAAGAGGTCAGCACCTTTTATGGTCATGTCCCAGCAAAATCAGAATGGAAGGGATTAAAATTAATCCAAGTGGCAATGTCTGGAGTACGTACTGTGCAATTTAAACTGTATCACCAAAGAAAGGCCATTTGGGAAAGGAAGTGCAAAAGAGAAAAACAAGGTGAGGATAATTCGATGACAAGGGAAAGGTCAAAGGGAGAAAAAAAGAGTGTGCATGTTCATTTAAATTAAAAATATATATTTATTGAGTAGAAGATATGGAATGAGATGCTATATAGCTACAGAAGATATTAAGAGAAAAAATCTTGAGGTCCTTGCTTTTAAATAGATTAAAGTTCTGTTAAAACTGGAAAGAAAGAGTTGGGAATAGTTATTTTTTTTTTATGGAGAAGAAATCGAAAAAAGAATGTACTGAGGGTCTTCAAGAGAAATATTTCCCTCTTTAATGGCCAGAGAATGGAAAGGCGGAGGCATCTTATTTATGGTTATATGTGAGAATGGTAGGAAGGAGACATTTTCCAATTAAAAAAATCTCTCAACATTAACAATCAAATCATGGCTGAAAAAATTATTAAATTGAAGTCATAATATATATTATATATTCTGTATAAGTTTATGTACGGCTTTGATGTAGTCCTATAAGTATTTTCATGTATCTACATAATTGTTATTATTATCATTAATGTCTAGAGGAAAACAAGAGAAACCTATAGGAAGATAAAGGGGAGGGAAAGGAGAATCATATAGCACCAGGGACTTCCAATGAATGAGGCAAATGTGTTGAGGGGTTATTGGGGGCCCTGTGTGGTGGACAGAATTGAGAAGATAAGAATATTTCTGTGTAAAGAGGTAACTGGCAGTTTGGGGAGATTATATGATATGAAAGATAGACAAGAGCAAGACCATGTCCCAAAAAGATGCTTCCCAACCCAAACCAATCAATAATGAATATGATTCATACATGAGGCCTTGAAGTTTGCAATATCACTTATGAAATATTAACATGCTCAGGCAAGTAACGTGCCTGCTGATATTTTGGCAAAATGCTCCCAGCACCAACCCCAGCTAAAAGCTGTTTTATACCCCTCCCCAACCCTGCCCAAAGACCCGCCCACTGAGGAAAGCCTTACAAAAGTGATTTCCTTTCCAGGTTTAACTTTCGGGGATTCCGCTGGATGAAAACCATGATTCACAGGATCAAGGAAATTAACAAGAGGAAGGATATTTTGCCCAACATCACTTTGGGCTATCAGATCTTTGATACGTGTTCCGCCATCTCCAAGTCTGTGGAAGCAGCTCTGGTCTTCCTTACCAGGCAGGAAGAAAACCAGCCCAACTTTAGAAACAGCACTGGAGCACTTCTGGCAGGAATTGTGGGAGCCGGTGGATCGTCCTCTTCCGTTGCTGCTTCAAGAATTCTAGGTTTGTATTACTTACCTCAGGTGTCTCCTTATTGTGCCGGGTACTAATTTATAAGAAACACAAGCTATGTTTGTGGAGATTGCAGCAACTAGTCAGGTGCTCAGGTGAGGGTGGGGTCTGTTGCAGAGACCAACAGGGATGGTGGTGGTGCTGCTGCCCCTAGTTACTCTGTTCAGTCCTTAGGCAGCAAGTGTGACTTGCTTTTGTCTTGAGGCTGTGACCCAGTGATTGGTATGTAAATATCTCACTAGGCGCTGTGCCCTGTAGCACTGTGGGAGCGCAGAGTAGGTGATGGAGAAAGACTGCTTGGCTGGTTGATAGACGGTATAAGGAACTCATTTTGTTCCTTGCCTATGTTAATGCTAATTATTCATTACCCTTTTTATTCTATACACCAACATGCTGAAATGCACCTGGGGATTTCACGAGATAGAGTATCGACAGATTATTTTAAATTCAGAGACTGTGACACGTTTCACCTTAATAATAGATGATATTAAGAAGAATGGATTGTTAAGGAAATATAAGTAAAGCACTATAATTATTTCTAAGGGTGGGTCATTAAAGTATCAATAGTCAGAATGTATGAATGTGAACGATGATTAAGCTTATTTGTGTTACTGATTGGAGAATTTGAAATAATTGTAAAAAGTAGCATTTACATAGTATTCTTATAAAGCTGCAAATACAAATGTAGGAGGGACAGGAAAACACTGAGAAACAGAGCCTAGAGGAGGGGTCAGGTGACACAGCTGACACTGTAGGTAAGGGCTTCATGCAGCTCAACGGACTGCTGCTGCTGTGAGCTCTACTCGTATCTTCCACAGAACAGCAACCATGGCCCAGGCACCTGCTAGAAACCTCTAGATAGATTTTATCATTTAAATCCTTGCAGCAAATATGCAAAGAGGGTAAAAGAAATATTTGATGTAAGGCTTTCACATTTGTTGTTTCACTTAATATACTGAGAATATTAAATCATCATATGAGTATATAACATATATATACTTTATATAAGTATATTATTAATATTTGTTACAATATACCAAGTATATATTAAGTATACTTTATATAGGTAAGATGTAGATATAATTACCCTGATTTTACTCATGGGGACACCGAGGTTCAGAAGGTTTAAATGACTTGTCTGCAATCTTATACTAATGAATTATGTGTGGGGTGTTTCTCCTTCCTAAAGGAGATTTTTTCCCCTTACATATGGCTTCCCTGATATTGCAGCTTATATGTTTCCAAAGAAGAATATAAGCTTTAGCCAATGGAATAAGAACAGAACAAAGGGTAGAGAAAAGAGAAAATAGGAATATTCTGTCAATTATGAAAGAACTGACAGTCAAGGAGCTGTGAAATTATAGGAGGTCCTATTGGAGGCAGTGTATTAATAGCACGGGATAGGCATGGGATGCTTTAGGGGAAAATGGGACTTAACGCTCATCGTTGTAGAGTCAGCAAGGGTGAGAGTGAGGTACAGCAGAAATGCATGTAAGGCTGTCAGGAGTTCATGCTACCGAATTCATAAACTCTCCCTGGTGGAAAAGTGCACATAGGGATCACTGGCAAAATGGGAAAAAAGTACCTCTTCATTTATCTAGACAAGTGTCTGTAAAATGAAGGCTTCTAGAATGTGACTGAGACCTGAGGTTGAAGCGCTCCCTACCAACTTTCTCGATCTAAATCTTGGGACCTAGATACTCAGATACTCTGCCAGGGCAGAGAGAAACAAGGAAAAGAGGAGAGAAAGAGGGAAAGTAGTGGTGGTGATAAGACAGAAAGAGAGGAGAGAGAGAGGAGAGAGAGAAGAAAACTGGGCCTGCCAAATAAGCTGAGTCCACTCACCCCATCATCTGTGTGGCTGAGAAGTTAGATCTGAGAAAGCCTGGATGACTTGACTCACACACCTAGTTTCAGGAGAACACAGACAAAAGGGCACAGGGTCTCCTTTTCAGTGCTGTAACCCCACCTGTGAAAAGTGGTGCATTTAATGTCATCAGCTTAATAATTAGCTCCTCCAACTCCCTTGGGGTGGGGTGGGAAAAGGATAGATAAGGGGGCACAAAGTGTTCCCTCAGGCCTTTTGTCTGTGGAAGGATGTGAGACTAAAGGGAGAACAACTATTAAGTTCCCTCCTCGGCCAATAAAACTATTTGGGTATTGTGTAATTTGAGATTTTGCTATAGCTTTCTAATAACTACATAAATTTTTTCAATTGTAGGTGGGCTATGCCTCTACCTGCTCAATTCTTAGTAAGAAATACCAGTTTCCCTCTTTTCTTTGCATAGTAGCTAGTGACATGTTCCAGTCGCAGGCCATGGTAGAACTTATCCAACACTTTGGTTGGGTCTGGGTAGGCGCTATCGTAGCTGATGATGATTATGGAAAATATGGAGTAAAAATTTTTAAGGAAAAAACGGAGAGTGCCAACCTCTGTATTGCATTATCAGAAACCATTCCCAAAGTCTATTCCAATGAGAAAATGCAAAAAGCTGTTGATGCTATAAAGAAATCCACTGCCAGAGTCATTGTACTTTATGATTCATTATTTATTAATAATGAATTGTTATTTATTTCATTATTTATTATAAATTTTTACAATTTTTTGTTAAGAACATTTTATTTTTATTTTTAAATATTATTTATTTTATTTTTACATTTATTTTTAAAATAATTTTTAAAGTTTTCAATTACAATTGACATATAATATTATATTAGTTTTAGGTGCTCATCACAGTGAGTAGACATATATAAGGTTGTATTACAGCTTTTATTCTTCCTCTTCCTATAACAACAGAAGGGCTTTGATATGCAGCACTGAGAAGTGGTTGGTGAGCTAGAGTCAGGGGTCCCCTGGGTGTACACAATGTAAAGACCCAGAGAAGTGTTAGGGAAAATTAAGGGGAAGCCTCTTCACTTACCAGAAGTTAAGAAGAAACCAGGCAGCTTAACTTTTTACTTAATGAAATATTATTTGTAAGAGCCTAGGACTATAGGGCTTTTGCTATTCTATTCTAGTTTTGTGTTTACTACAGGGTGACCTGTAGTGTTACATAAAATGATAGGGTGGTGGAAAAGCATTGGCAATTTAATCTTCCACATGAATCTCAGAATGAAAGAAACAGCAGGAGTGAAAGATGAAAATGGGTGTCAGTACAGCCAGCGTGGTTTTTGTTGTTGTTGTGTTTTGTGTTTTTTTTTCCTGCCTCAAGGCTTGAGTTGGGGGACTGGGGTGTTTTTTCCCTTTATGTGTCTTCTGTCTTCTGTGTGGCTCTTTTGACCTGAGAGCTGAGATTCCCAAACAGTTTTCCAAATCATGCTGGGAAAGGATCCACGAATAACTAACAAGGAAATTCAGATTTCGGAGCTCCTATGTTGTGTCAGACACCTAGGAGATCTTTTTTTCAATCTCTCTTTTTATCCTTTCCTTCCTTTCTGCTTTCCATGGGTAGCTAAACATATGGACTCACAACACACACACACACACACACACACACACACACACACACACACACACACACACAGTAGTTCTTCCTTTCTTTGCCTATCTTTAAGTAGCATTTGAATACATTATGACAGAAAATAAAAATAAAGCCTTATCAGTGTTTGCCACTCTAGGGGATTTTTATTCCTTTGACCTAGAGTTGCTCTGTCCAATACAGCACCCCCAAGTTACATGTAGCTTTTAAAATTTAAATGGATTGAAATGAAAAATTCAGTTCCTTAGTCACATGAGCCAAATTTCAAGTGTTCAATAGCCATGTGTGGCTAGGGGCTACCATAATGGATAGCCCAGATATATAAAATTTCTCTCATTGCAGAAAGACAGAGCATCCCTAGGCCTAGACTATAAACCATCTTCTGTGGTCCAGAGTTCTCTCCCTCAGTGCGGCCTGAGACTTTTCACTTTTGTATCCCTAGTGCTAGGCATATAGTAGGTGCTCAATATAGTGTTTTGCATGAAAAGAGAAGATGTTACCACTTACATATACAAAATTCAAGACTGTTCCTACTAAAAATGATGGAAAAAATAGTAAAATGTTTTTAAATAGTAAAATCTATTTTAATGTTTCATTAGGGCAGAGTAATTTTATTTTTCTCATCTCATTTTTCAATTAAAATTAGGGTTATATTTGTATAAAGAAATTGGTTCAAATGTAGTGTAATTCAAATTTACTAAGTATGTACTATGACTCCACCTCTGTGTTAAGCACTGCAAAAAGACCACTTTCCTCACAGCACTTACAATTTAATTAATTAAATGAGCAAATATTTATTGAGCACAATATTACATGTGTTAGACACTGTTCTAGGAACTGGGGATACATCAGTGTACAAAACAAAAAAAATCCATACCTAATGGATTTAACATTTCAGTGGTAGAAAATAGGCAATAAACAAGATAAATTGATGAACTATATGTTATCTTAAAGAGTGATAATGTTACAGAGAAAAAAATAGCCAGGACTGAGATAGGGAGTGCTGGCGGGAGTGTTGTATTGTAATTTCACATAATGTAGTCAGGAAAGGCTTCACTGGGGAACATTTGAACAACTACTTAAAAGGAAGTGAATACATGCATTATCTAGGGGAAGAGCATTTCAGACAGAGGGAACAGCAAGTCCTGAGGCAGGAGCATGCTTAGCATTTTGGAAGAACACCAAACAGATCAGTGTGGCTGGAGGGAGGGAGGGAGAGAGGGAGAGAAGAGAGAGAGAGAGAGAGAGAGAGAGAGAGAGAGAGAGAGAGAGGGAGAGAGAGAAGTGGGAGAGGAGGTAAGAGAGGCAAGAAAAGGTCAGATCATGTAGGGCCTTATTGGCTGTTGAAAGAATATAGCTTTTACAGTGAGTGAAAAGGAGAGCGATGAGAAACTCCTTCCAGAGGAGAGTCATGACCTGATTTAGGGTTTAAAGGATCATTCTATCTGCCACACAGCAAATAGATTGAAGGAGTGGGTTGGGTGGGGAAACAGAGTAGAACCAGGGAAACCAGTCAGAAGACCAATAAAATAATCCACAATAATGAAGGTAGCTTGGATCCGGACAGATGTGGTACAGAGGAGTTCAGTTCTGGATATAACAGGTAGAAGTCACAGAATTTGTTGACATGTTGGATTTGGAAATGTCCTGCATCAAACAATTAGTGAATGGTATAAGGCAAATTTAACTCATGATGGTAAACTGAGTCTGGAGGTTGGTGAGCAGAAGGGCCTGCATGAGGGAGAGGGTACATATAGGCAAGTAGTAGAAGATAAGGTTGGGGATTATGGGTGAGAATGATGGCGTCAGTGGCAGAAGTAAGGCATTTCGGAGGAGGAATAAGGTTAATGGGGATAATTTTAGACTTGATGAATTTGAGGTGATCATAGAAACTTAAAGTAGGGGTTGTTAGTTTAGGAGTTAGAATTAGAGGTCTGGTGGGAAAGGTTGGTGTTAGACATCAAGACTTGGGACTTCTTATATAGAGCTGCTGCTCAAAGACAAGAGAATGAATGAGCTGCTTTATATCAAGGGATAAAAGCAGAGGACCATGGACCAAACCCAAGAAAAATGCCCTCTGTGATGAGGAGGGTGGAGGAAGTAGAACCAAGAAAATAAATGAAAGACCCCAATGGAAGCCCAGTGCATTTCCAGAAGGGGTAGATCAATTGAGCCAGATATTGAAGAGAGATAAAGGAGAATGTGGCTAGAGGAAAAGCTATCAGACATGGTAAGGAACATTTTAGTGAGGTGAGTGATTTGGAAGCTAGATCATGAGGGTTGAGAAAGGAAGGGATACTGAGAAATGGAACAAAAAGGTCTTGGCTCATTGTTCATGATGATTTTCAAAGTAAGGTATGTGGAAAGCTCTTTTCAGAAGATTGGGTCAGGAGATAGGAAATCCATTTCATTCTGTGGGTGGACACACACACACACACACACACACACACACACACACACACACCCCTTGTAAGAAGCCTATCTATTGTATAGCAATAGGTACTTCAGTAATGTTACATACCATAAGTCAGCTCAGCAATTTCTAGTATTTTCCATTGTTAATCTAATTCAGATTTAACGTAGAAAAATTCTGATTTCTGAAATAAATATAAATGTGATTATTCACTTTTCAAAATAAATCTTTGCTTAGTGGAAAGTACATTTCATCTTCCTTTTAAATAGAAAGTTCTTCATTCACTTTAAGATATAAACTGATTTACAAGCACTGCAGTTGTTTGTACTGGGTCCCTAGGTGCACATCCATGTAGAATGTAAAGAGAGGCCCAGGTTTACCCCTAAGCTTTCTAAACTTTTTGTGAGAAAATATTCCAATGTCCTTGTCTACTTTCCCTTTTTCTGTGCCAATTTTTCCCATGAATCAGATCTTTCATCTTTCTTTTCTACTGACTCTTTATGACACATCTTTGATTTTTAGACTATGCTGGAACGACCTTGTGGAAAGAAATATTTTTCAGGCTCTCAAGATAATTCTTGGGATCACAGACCCCTCCCCCCAGCTCTCCAAAAGCAGAAATAGATTTGTCCCCTCCCCAGAGTCTCATGGGCATGGAGTCTGTCTGACTCCCCAAAGTTGGAAAGAGCTAGCTTTAGGATTAGCTTTGCATATCTAGAAGCAACCACAAGACTGACTTTTAGCAAAATTCTTTGCTAGGCTCTCTGTGTTGTTATTCTCTTTGTATATTATCCTTGTCCAGCTGTCCTAGGTTTTCTAATATATCACAAAACGTCCACAGAAATCCAGGCGTGAACTCTCTCAGCTTCACAAGTGGTGGCAACAAAGGTCTCTGTTACTTGTGCTGTGTTTGTTTTTGCTAGCGTCCTCATCCCGTTTGCGCCGATTTGTGTCGTCCTGGGACCTTGAAGGGGATTCGTGACGGGGAACCAATATGCTACTTTGACTGCATCCCGTGTGCTGATGGACACGTGTCACAGGAACCAGGTAGAGATGGTCATTTTTTTCATTGACATAAAAGTGCGATTAGATGAAACATGTTTTGGCAAATAGATTCTTGGGAGCCTTCTATCTAAATAGGTGTGAACAACTTATAACAAAAATCATTATCATCTACCAGACTATTGGATGGTCTGTGCAATGTGAAAAAAAATAACAGCTGGGTTTCAGTGCTCAAGCTGCTACAGTTGGAAAAAGATCTGCATCCATAAATTTAAGAGAGGAAAAAATTTTAATATGTGAAATATGAATAAATGGATTCATAAAAACTATTTACAATGATTTTGATTTATGAAATAGATTAAATATTAGTTACAGAAAAAATAGTAAATAATTGGAAAAATAAGTGAATTACATTTCTATATTTTACTATATTATCTCTAATTTGGAACTATAAGACCAAGAATTCTATCCCTAAAGACTATTCGCTTAAAGCCATAATTACTCAAAGTTTGTAGGACAGATGAATTCTGTAACTACTGCCCTATGAATTCTTCAGTACAACCTGCAGAATTGCTGTTCTTCATGAGTAGAGTTTTAGCTGGGCTTGTTATGCTTAGCCTTATGAAGCATGTTGGAGCAGGTTTATTTTTATCTCTACCTTCTGTTAAAGATAACAGAAATTGTACTTGTCTTTTGTCAAAAGTCCCTCAATAGCAGTTAATTTAAAAGAGAGTTTAAAAAGTGTAATAATATTCCCACATGGAAAACAAGCACAGCGCAACCTGAACAGCTCCCTGGGCCCCACATGGCCCAGTCTCTGCACAGTTATGTCAAGAGAAGCCCCATCCCACAGTCAGAGTGATTGAAAGGGGATTCTAGTCTGTACCTGCATCTTTCAAAGAATATGAAAGAGATTCATTTCATAATCTACCACAAATAAGTTTTTCTTATGTTGTGATATTCTCCCTTAGAGCCTCTGCCCAGATAAAAGCCCTTAGTCAACATGGTTATTTTTGTTTCCCTTCTTATTCTCAGTCTTTCTCCACCTCTTCTCTCAAATCTACATCTGGAGGGTGAGGAGGGCAAAGCTGATGGGGCCAAGACAAAATTATCTTCAGTAGGTGAGGGCGATATTGAACGGAAGACTGAAAACACTAGTATTTTAACACGTTAAGTGCCATGTCGGTCACCAGTGACTGACACTATACTTTCCGTTCGGACCGCGTCAGTCACCGGTGACTGACGATATACAATTTAAAAAATTATATTCTTCTATTAGGAAAACTAATTTCACTTGAATCACTTTCACATGTTTCTTCTACTGACGTTGTCACTGTTACGGGTAAAGAAAAAAATTTTTAAACTGCACTGGAACACGAACCACAGACAACTGACTGAAGAGAAAGCATATCTGGAAATCGGATATCGCGGGCTAAACGGAAAGGAAGACAAAACAGACTTGGTGCTTAACGTGTTAATCAGCCTTATCCCTATCACAATTCTCTTGATTGTTTCACCTAGTAGCTTTAATTTTCTCATATATGGGAAATCATCTATGAATTATTCTGGAGTTTATGAGGCTACACACCTCCTTTCTCAATTGGATAATTGGAAGAGAAAGAAAGAGGAATCTTACTGAACAAAGCCCATGGAGGAAAGGCTGAAGCCAAGAAGACCGAATTTCCAAAATTGAAAATAATTCTCAACCTGTAATATTAGCTGCATACTTTAAGACCACTTTATCACTGCGTTTTGGAAGATATCATATGTTCTCTCTATAAAGGTATCTCAGTGAATCCTGCAATAGGGCCTTTGGCTGCTCTGAACTATTACAACTGAAGGGGTCAGTTGGATTTCTTTGCAGTCAATCACTGTTCTTAGTCCATTAGGTCAAAGGGAGTGTGAATAGTGTGGTGAAGACTATTGGTCAAATGCACAAAAAAGCGAGTGCTTGCTGAAAGAGGTGGAACTCCTTGCTTATGACGAGGCCCTAGGATTCACGCTTGTCATTCTCTCTGTCTTTGGGGCGCTTGTGGTCTTGGCAGTCGCAGTTGTGTATGTGATATACAGGCACACTCCGCTTGTGAACGCCAATGACAGGGAGCTGAGCTTTCTCATGTCATCATGCTGCTGTCTTCCATGCTTTTCATTGGCAAGCCATACAACTGGTCCTGTGTGGCCCGCCAGGTCACTCTGGCCCTGGGCTTTTCTTTTTGCCTGTCTTACATTCTTGGAAAGACTATTTCACTGTTTTTAGCCTTCAGAATTTCCAAATCCAAAACCTGACTTATATCCATCTGCCCCCTTTATCAGAAAATCATTGTGTTAATGATTTTCAAAACATTATTCTGTTTGAAAAATAAAAATGAAGGAAATTAAGATGTCAGCAAAGCAGTTATTAGGTTGGTTATATAGTGAATACCTGGATGGCAAAAAAAAAAAAAAGCAAATGTTTACCTAGAGCAGCTATTAGAATGTAGTATTTTTAAGAATAAATTAAATGATAGATATTTGCCCTTGAATTATCCATAGTGACCTGGAATGTTATAAAAACATTTTCAGTCTTCTTCCAGATATGAATCTTTGAAAATGACCTCCATGCATTTATGTGCATATGATGTATGGAAAAACAGAATTTGTAGAAATGCTGATAAACCAAATACCGACATGCATACTTGATTCTAGGAAAACAAAGGGATCAGAAAGAGCTCTTTTTTCAGAAGAACTTAATAATGTTTGTGAATGTCAATTAACCAAACTGGGCAGAGATTCATTCAGGCTTGTGGGAGCAGAAAGCATGATGTCTAGTTTAGTAGGATAGGTCTGTCAGGAATTTGTTTATTGATTTTTTAAAGAATGACCATTCCAAACAAGACCAAGTGGATGACCTTTGTGTAATTTAAATAAGAAGTTTACACCAAGTGAGCTCATTTGTTGTAGGGCTAATGGTATCCTAGTACTTTCTGGGAAGGCATCTATTCATCCACCCATCTCCCAAAACTCCTACAGTGCTTTCATCACAGCCCTAGGATTCTTAGAGAAGAGCCTACTTTACAGCATGAAAAATGGGGAAATTGCTTCCTTTGTCCCTTCACTTGATCCAGGGATGGATGTTGGAAAAGAGAGGATGGTTTGTCAAGGTATCAAATAATAGGAAAATGAGAATCTGAGTCAATTTTCTGCTGAGTCATTTTCTTGTTCAGTTATACATATAGCTTGAGTATTCTCAATGATCCATTTTGAGATTAAAAAAAAAGGTAAAAGCTGGCTGGACTCTAGTGACTCACTTTACTTTTATATGCAAAATAGTTCAATCTCAGAGTAATCTGTTTCTTTTCTGAAATGTTGATTATTAACATATGGCATCTAAAAAGATCATTCCAGCAGCCCATCTAGGCAGTATCAAAGTCTCCATTATTTCTATTCATACCACATGACTCAATGGTACTGTCTTAATGGACTTGTGTTGTTTGTAATTATTTACTTTTATGATCAGCAATAGGTTTGGAAAGCTAGAGAAAAACAAATGTTATTAAAAATAAAGATAAACTTGCATGTTTAGCTTTAATGTTTACTTGTACAACTTTACAATTTTAAGATGTAATTTATAACTAATGTGGTCTGAAGCTATCACTTGTTGGTTTTATACACGTGCATTTTCATAGGAACTGGCTTATGGCAGATGAATTGAATAAAATGTGATTGTTAAAGAATGATGCTCTCATTTTTAGTATTGATTTATTCTTTATAGTTAATTACTTATCAAGTATTAGAATGTTTCTCATAACATTGAAGGATAATTCCTCTTTGGATAAATGTGTCATTTAGAAATTATTTCTAGTAAAAAAATGATGGGATTCTCTCTCAGTACACCTTGCCTTGTAAGAGAATCTCATACAGAACTTACCAGTGACAACCCCTGCTGTGGGTGAGCATTTGCTGATAACCGTGAGCTGGGCTTTGGGGAGCTGCTCAGGTTAATTTCAGGGTGTTGCATCAAAACAATGCGATTGCTGGCTTGGGGCGTATAAAACCTAACTGCTTGAAAGAAAACATATTGCAAAACAGCACTTTACTTGAGGCTGACCTAGACACATGCAAGTTTGAGCTATTTTAGAAAAAGAAATGTTGATCAGGTCCACTCAAACCACACCATAAGATTAATTCCTTTGGATTAAGGCAAAGAAAACTCCTGATAGAAAGTGAATACATTATCGAAAAGGGAAAGATGTCCTACGTGTCAGATTAGTCTCCTTAAACAATAGCTCCCTGTTCATTAGCTCCCAGTGGCTCTCCACTCTCCACAGAACGCGTTCAGCTGTCCTAGCCTGACATCCAAACCCTACAAACTGTTTTCCTCCTTCAACATTTGACACCTGCTACCTTCCTGCCCACATCCTTATGACACAATCCAACTGGACACCTGCAACTTCTGGAGCTTACCTTCAAGTTTCCTGATTTCATGTGGCTCATGATTCCCTTTTTCCTCTAATGCCCTAATAGTACCTCAGCCAGCCTGCCTGCCTGCCTTCCTTCCTTCCTTCCTTCCTTCCTTCCTTCCTCCCCTCCCCCCCCTCCCTCCCTCCCTCTCTCCCTCCCTCCGTCCCTCCCTCCCTTTTATCCATTCATTACTGAAGGCTTGGTGTGCACCAGATTCAAAGTTAGGCATAGAATATATACAAAAACAAAGCTTTGTCCCCCACTTCCAGGTACTTACTTACCATCGCTTGCTCTCTCTCTTCTCCTGGTACCCCTATCATGAGAACGTTGTTATGCTTGATGTTGTCCCAGAGGTCTCTTAAACTATCCTCGTTTCTTTGGAATCTTTTTTCTTTTTGCTGTTTTGATTGGGTGTTTTGTACTACCTTGTCTTCCAAATCGCTGATTTGGTCCTCTGCTTCATCTAGTCTGCTGGCGATTCCTTCTAGTGCATTCTTCAATTCAGTTATTGTAGTCTTCATTTCTGACTGGCTCTTTTTTATGGTTTCTATGCCCTTTTTTATGCTTGCTGTCTCTCTGTTGAAGTCCTCACTAAGTTCCTTGAGCATCCTTACACCCATTATTTTGAACTCTGTATCTGGTAGGTTACTTGCCTCTATTTTGTTTAGTTATTTTTCTGGAGTTTTCTCCTGTTCTTTCATTTGGGACATATTTTTTTTTGTTTGTTTGTTTCCTCATTTTGGCTGCCTCTCTGTGCTTGTTTCTATGTATTAGGTAGAACTGTTATGTCTCCCAGTCCTGGCCAGGTGGCCTTATGTAGTATGTTCTGTGGGGCCCTGGCACAGTCTCCCTAGTCACCTTCTCCAGGTGCTCCAGGAGTGTCCTGTGTGTGCCCTCCTGTTATAACTGAGCCTGGAATGCTATTGACACATCAGTAGGTGGGATTGACCCTCAGGAGATTGGCTATGGGGTTTGGCCATGTCCACAGCTCATGGGCTGCTGTGTGGGGGGCTTACCCCACTCAGTTAGATTTGCCCCAGTGGGCTCTGGTGCCTGTTGAGACTGCCCTTTGTATATGCTGTTTGTGGGGCTAATTGGTTGTTGCTCTGCCTTCGTCTGAAGCCAACCTCCAAGTATGCTGATTCTGGAGCCTCTTAGGAGGAACTCTGGTGCAGGCCCAGGTCACCCTTTCCTGTGACCAGCTGGGGCTACCTCTTGGGAGCTACAAAACAATCCAAATTGTTTGCTACCTGTGCTACACCTGGAGGTGTGTGGGAGAAGTCACACTGAGAACCAAGGACATCTGCCACCAGTATCAGGCCTGGGGTAGCTCCGCAAAAAGCCAGGACACCCTGAGACCTGCTGCCACCTGCTGGTCCCCTTGAGGTTCAGCTGCTGATAGAGCCTCGTGAGGTTCATGCATTGGGTGAGACAGGGTCTCAGGGAATCATTAGAGTGGGAAGAGTTGTGATCACAAGGTTAATGTAAATTCTGGTTTGGTGCCAGTGTTGAGCCTGGAGCTACTCAGCAAAAGTCTCAGAGCACAGCAAGGCTAATTGCCACCCATTTGGGGTCCGAGGACTCAGATAGTTTTTCAAAGAAGAGTGCAATGTGGGTGGGACTGGCTGCCTGCAAGAAAGTGCTTCTGGCATTGAGGGAGTGTGGCGAGGTTCCAACGGAGCTCATCAGGCTAATAAGATTCAGATTTGGCTGTGTGGGGGGAGGGCTCAACATAGGAAAGATGGCGCCCACTTCCCAGCTACACAGGGAAAGTGGCAACTGTCCTCCAGCCCTTGCTTCATTGCTACACACTGCATGCAGCCTGCCCCCTGTATGCTTCTGATGCCCCTCAAGTTACTGTCCATCTGCCTAAGGTGAGTGCTTGCATGTGAGAGAGCCTGTGCGCTGGCCATTTAAGAGGATGTCTGGGTTTCCCACTGCCTTCTGTCTCACCCGAATGGTTGGACTCTGCAATGGTTTTCATAATCACATGTTGTGGGGGCTCCATGTCCTGTCACAAGTGCTCTGGGTTGGGGAAGCCCACATCTGGGTCTCTTGTTCCTCTGGGGGAAGGGAGCCTCCATGGCTGAGATATCCCTCTTGGTTCTCAACCATCGCACAGAGGTTTGGGGCCAGCCCATTTTGCATCTCCACCTTTCCTACCAGTCTCAACGTAGCTGCTTCTTTATATCCCTAGTTATAAAACTTCTGTTCAGCTAGACTTCAGAGGATTCTCCAGGTTGATTGTTTTATAATTTAGTTGTAATTTTAATGTGTTCATGGAAGAACGCAGGCATCGTGTTTATCTACTTCTCCATCTTAGACACTGGTCCATATCTTTGTAGTCTTAACATCTAGAATATATCTAGCACTTCATTGGTGCCCAATGATTTTATTTTATAAATGAGTGGATGAATGAATAAAGTTATCAAGATAGCTAAAGACTCATCTAGCAATGGCCAGGTGTAAGGTTTCAGTGTAAGTCGAGGAGGTCTGGAGCACAGCATGGGTGGAGGAGGTGGGAAGTTGAAAGAGCCTGTTGGGGAAACAGTGGATTTCTAAGATATTAGGGGCTAGTTTGAGAGCAATGGGCACGTCAGTGGGGAAGTGGAAGAGAGAGCAGGACTGAAAGGAAGGAGGTGATTGGAAATGGGAATGTGGAAATCTTGGAAAGAGTTGTTTTATGGTATTCATTTGACTATTTCTCATGGTATTTTCTCTGTCTTATGTTCTCATTTTTTAAAGAAAAAATGCAATATTTTAACCCCCTGCCCCCCAATTTTCTCCATTTTGAGCTGTCATTGTAAAAAGCAACTCTTTAGAACATCTAAAGGCAGAGTAATTGTTTGTAATCTCCAGGTAGCATTATTAACAATTTATATAAAATATTTTTGTGAAATTCAATCATTTGCATTTTTAGAGGATGTTATACATTTTCC